GAAAAGATGACCATGTGATAAATGAAAAAGAACATGCAACACAATATTATGTCTCCAAAAATATAGAAAAGTGTGCATTAGATACTATTGAAGCTAAAGATACAGATAATATGCACGATGAGAGTAGTGACGGTCAACTACCCACTCTCGAAAGAAGACAGTAAAGATAATTCAGCTGATGAAGAAGAGTTGGATAATGAGGAGTTTGCACTTGCTAGAAAAAATAAGATTAAATTAAGGACAACTATTGTCGATAATGGGCTTGGCTTAGGACTTGATGAGGCCGTTGGTAGTTAAAGAAGAGCCCCAAATTTTGAGTTTGGTGTTACATGTGCTGGTGGTTAAATGCAATATGGAGAAGGGCATACTCAATCTAGTGATTATGAATCATCTAACGAGGAGTTCTCATCAATCTATTTTAGTGAGGAGGAAAATTTGGAGGTGAGAAAAAAGATAAAGAAGACTAAGAATATTTATGACTCTAGCTGTGACCATAGTAAGCTGCAATTCAGTTAGGTATGATATTAAAAAATAAGCGGGAATTAAAGATGACTGTTAAGAAATTTGTAATTCACAATGGCTTCAATGTGACTTGGCAGAAGAGTGAGGCAAAAAAAGTGGACTGTAGGTGTGAAGAATGTAACATCCCATTTTTCTATTGAATCGAATCGTTGCTTAGAGTCGAGTCGGGCTGATCCAAAACCCGGTTCGAGCCATTAGAGTCTAGAGTAGCTAGAGTTAAGTGTATTGATTATTCAAAAATAAGCGGTGAATAAAGATGAACTGTTATAGAGATTTTGTAATGCACAAAGGCTTCAATGTGTGACTTGGCAGACAGAGTGAGGCAAAAAAAGTGGACTGTAAGTGTAAATAATGTAACATCGCCATTTTTTCTAATTAAGTCGAATGTTGCTTAGTAGCGAGTCGGCTGATCCAAAACACCGTTCGAGCCATTAGAGTCCTAAGAGTAGCGGACTTAGAATGAAATAAGGAATAGAAAGTGGGACTTACTTGAAGGAAACAAAAAGATAAATATTATAAGGATAGGATATCTGATTTCACTAAAGTAATAAAGTTGAAGTATTTGAGTATGTAACAGCCACATGTTGACGTACTTGAGTTACCAATTTGGTAATTTTCAACATAAAAATAATGACATTCTTAGAGACTACCCGAGAGACTACCCGTGGATTCCATTTCATTTTCATTTCTTCATCCTTATCTTCATTCTTCTTCCACTACTTTCCTCTTCCACTTTCCTTTCTCCATCACGTTTAATGGTGGTGAAGATTTTAATGGGAGTTAAGCATTAATTCAACTTCTATCCAAGTAAGTAAACCTTCTTGAAGTTCATACTTGACTCATTTGGTGATATTGTTCGATAATTTATAAGAACTCTATTGTATAGGAGAGGTGAGCCAAAGGTAGAAGGAAGCTAAAAGAAGAGCTTAAGCTTATTGGCGTAAAGGTGTGATATCTCTTTTATTTACCATTTTCTTTGCATGAGAAATTGTGTGGTGTGTTGTTATAATATTGCTTCATGTTGAGTGGGAGGACTGGAATGGTGAAAAAGCATGAGATGACTGAAAATGGTGAAAGCATGAGATGAAAATGAATTAAATTTGAAGTAGATGAGTCATGCTGAAAACAAGTTTTTTTGCTGGAAAATTACCAGTAACTTCACCTTGATTTTTACTCCCAATTTAATGATGGAATTAGGAAGTGTCATAGAAGAGTTAATTTGTTTCCTCTATGTGTTAGCTTTACATTGAGTTTGAATACCCAAATCAGAGTTTATATTGAGACTATATGGTCAAAAAGGTACAAAATGTGCAGGCTGGAAAACGCACTGCGGCGCGTCGGCTGACAATCTGCGTGATGAAGAGCTCGCGATCGCTACTTTCATGTTGCGCGGCTTTCGCGACCTTCACCTGGCATACTCTCTGACTCCTCATTGGTGTGCTTTATCGCGGCTCGCGTTTTCGCACTCGCACGCTCCTGCGACTTTTAGGCCGCCCTGGCCTGTAAGGCGCTCGCGTTACCTTCCTCTGCGCCTCTGGCGAATTTGGCCCTAGGGAACTCACTGTCTCTCATTTTGCATGCTATCGCTGCTCGCCGGACTTTCAAGTACGGCGCTCTGCGACTTGTGGCCCGATAACTGCACTGTCGTTCTCATTTGTGCTTTTACGACGCTCGCCAGACTTGTTAAGAGTACGCGTGCTCCGACTGTGTTTTCCATGCGACTTTTGACTTTTTTTCATATGCATATTTGGTATCCTTTTGCTTCACTGTATATAGCCTCCTAATCAGTTTAAACACAGAAAATTGCACTACATTAAATCATGTATTCAAAAACAACAGTTGTCAAGCATGCATAATGTATTTGAATGAGGTAAACACCCAACTTGTAATGCTATTCTATGCGACATTGTGAATCTGATGTCGAAATGGTTGTATGAAGTTGTGATATCCTTATGCATTTGTATTCCTTTTCTCAACTTGTATGCGTTCAACCATTTGACAAACTCGAAAAATGGACAACATGACACACTATGTTTAAAACAAAGATGCAAGATGCAAATTGGTGTGAAGCAATAAACATGGACACAAGCATTCAAAATTTTATTTGGAGCACCAGTTTACGTTTGCTTTGGTCTTTATCTATTGTCAAATCCTATTAACTATTGCTCCATTGAGGTAGTAGGTAGAATACCATGTAGATAGGCTGTATGTCGCGACATAGAAAGCAGATTGCGCCCCTGGCATACAGGTTTAGTGGATCTACTCCTGGCTACAGGCGTATGAGTGGCGGATATTGTGATATACAGGCATGCAGCCACAGCATACAGTTGTCAGTCCAGTTTCATCATCGAGATTTTTCTTTATCACTATCGGTTTGCACTATCACCACCTTCATGGAGTGCTATACGTTTATATCGACCTTATAAATTGCAGTTAGATCATCCAGTGATTACAGCAGATATGATCTATTAAGGGAAAAATGAATCGAGTATTCATCGACTATGTGTGCTTTACTTCCATATTGTGAAAGCATAAATCGTTTCTGTTCTACCATATGTGTATGTGCCGTGTATATGTTATATGTTTCTTCATTCATTGTGATATTCACTGAATTTAATCAAAGTTGCAGAGTTCATACAGCATAAAGAACATCAGGTAAGATCATGAAAGTAACATGTTATATATGCTTACGCGTTTATTTATTTAATTCTTAAGGAGCCATACAGTCATGAGATGTTATTAATCATAACTTATATGATGTGACTAAAAGTGCATAAGTTATACAGCATAATGAATAGCAAGTAAGACAATGAACATATACTGTTATGTAATCTTACATGTTTATTGATTTCATTCATACAACACAATGACCAGCAGGTAAGATCATGATAGTATCATAAGGTGTGATTTAAGGTTCATGTAAAGGAGTTATGAGATAATTAGAACTAAATTATTGATGTTTATGAAGAGTTAGAGGTTCATGGTAAAGGAGTTAGGAGGATAATTAGAACTAAATTATTGATGTTTTGACATTCAGAGAGTTTAATTCGTGCCTATAATAGAGACCATTATGTTGAAATTTTACTGATTCTATGAGTATCATATGCTTTATTGAAATTTATTAGTTTTAAGTTAGTTGCCATCGGCACTTTGATTTAGTATGTGGATTATGGAGTGAGCACCACTGAGTTTTATACTCAGCGCGTCGATTTTTATCACGCGTAGGTTGAAGATCGTGGTTGCTACTTGAAGACTTAAAGAGTACTATCAAAACAGAAGTGACTAATTTGGGAGTAGTAGATTGAGAATTATATAATTAAGAATTATGGCATGTATTAAGATTTATGGCATGTATAATTATTACATTTGTTAGAGCTATGTGATTGTAAAAATAAGTGAAGCATGTAATTATGTTGGTGTAAGTAGTTGGAGATAAGAATAATACTTATGAATGATTGAAGATGAACTATTTTACTATAGTTGGTATGATTGTATGATTAGTTCATGAAGACTTGATATATCTAATGAATGCACTTAATTGCTGGATATTAAATGCTATTGAGGATTGATACAGTTATGACAATATATAAAGTGTTATTGTGTTATGATGATTATTTGGAGATGTTGGAAGTTTGGAGTTTAATTGGGAGTGTTTTGTATTCATATTTAGCGTGTAATTGGGAGTAGTTTATATTCATATTTTTTCAGATCAGTATTGATATCCGCATGACAGGACCATAGGGTTCAACTAAGGATTGTAGCGTGCTCGGCCTCGTGGCTTTATTCGGCCTGTTTAACACGGGGTGGACCGGGAAGGATGTTTAACAAAGAAAAATGTCCGTGGGTGACTGTATGGTAATTACCTAGAGCTAGAAGACCTAGTCTTGGGTTTATTAAGGGTAGCTTATATAGAAAGAAGATAGCATTCGCAATATTTTTTTAGGTCACTTAGACAATTAAACCAAGTCAAATTAGAGTTTTTAGTTGTTGAGATTTTTTTTAGGGTGCCATATAAGGAAGATCGTTCCTATATTTATGGGTTGTTGAAAAAAGATGATAAGGGTATGATGTGAGAAGTATTTTGCTATCATTGTGAATAGGTTTTACAATGTCGTATCGAATGTGAGAAAGGATGGCAACATGGGAACCAAGCTTAATGGGGTCCACTAGATTTTCACATTATGCTATACTTAGATCACTACATAACAGAGTTGAAACAGGGTTGACAATGGAAGGCTACTTCTTGTTGCTTCAATGTGAGGGGGTAATTAAGAGGCCAAATGTATTTTAGGACTGTACATTGGCTTTCTCTTTCTTTGAGAAAGTAATACATAGTAAGGGATGTTAGACCATGTGTTAGATGGATACTTTGAAAACTGATGTAGTGGGAGCGGATATCCGCATGACAGGACATAGGTTCAACTAGATTGTAGCGTCTCGGCTCGGTTTATTCGGGTTAACGGGTGGACCGGGAAGGGATGTTACAAAGAAAATGTCCTTGGAGACTGTATGGTAATACTAGAGCTAAAGACCAGTCTTGGGTTATAAGGACTTATAAGAAAGAACATTCATATTTTAGGTCACTTAGAAATAAACAAGCAAATTCAGAGTTTTTAGCTTTGAAATTTTTAGGCCATATAAGGAAAGACCCTAATTATGGGGTGAACAAGATGATAAGGGATATGAGTGAGAAGTATGCTATCATTGTGAATAGGTACACATGTTATCGAGTGAGAAAGATGGCAATGGACAAGCTTAATGGGTCACTAGATTCACATTATGCTATACTTAGATCATACATAACAGAGTTGAACAGGGTTGACAAGGAAGGTACTTTTGTGCTTCAATGTGAGGAGGGTAATAAGAAGGGCCCAAATGTATTTTAGAGACTGTACATTGGCTTCTCTTCTTTGAGAAGAGAATACATAGAAGGATGTAGACCATGTGTGTAGATGGATACTTTTTGAAAACTATGTTAGGTGGAGTTCTATTGAGTGTAGTAGCACGAGATGTTAACAACTAAATGTACCCAGTTGTTTGGCTTGTTGTGGAAAGAGAGAAAGTAGAGAGTTAGCACTATTTTGTCTTTGTTTTTTGATGACTTGAATGGGACTGTGGGCCTTGGACTGACAATCATTAGTGACCAACAAAAGGTTTGTAAAATTGTTATGTGCTTTAGCCAAAATTTCATGATATCCAGTAATTGATTTATGGCAATGTGTTTATGTTTGCGTGTTTATGACGCAGGGATTGGAGATTGCTGTTAGAAATCTTGTGCCATATGCTGAGCACAGGAATTATGCAAAGAACATTCACTCGAATTGGAAGAAGAAATATAGAGGAGAAGGATATAAATCAGCCTTTTGGCATGTGTTTATGCAACATATGAGGCTGACTTTAACAAGAAATTAGAGAATTGCAGTAAATTTCTCCAGAATCAGTTGAATACTTCCTAAAAAGAGACAAACAGAAGTTTTGTAGAGCATTCCTACACACTTTTCCTAAAGTTGATGATGTTACAAGCAGCATGGCAGAGACTTTCAATGGCTATATTAGAGAAGCAAGAACTATGCCTGTCATTCTAATGTTGGAAGACATCAGAACAAGACTCATGGAAAGAAATTACTTTAACAGGTTGAGGGTTGATAAATGGAGTGATGGAGTAGGGCACAAAATAAGGAAAATAATTGAGAAGGCTAAACTTGGTATCTCATCTTGTGTTCCTACACCATCTAATGAATACAACTTCCAAGTCAAAGTACTTGAAGATTCTTTTGTGGTTAATTTGGATAAGAAGGAATGATCATGTAGGGCATGGTAACTCTCAGGCATACCTTGCTGTCATGCTATCTCTTGCATCAACTTTATGAGGCAAAACATAGTTGATTATGTTTATGACTGATTGAGGCTTGAGACTTTAAAAAGATATATCAATATGGCTTATGTCCATTAGGTGGACGTGATATATGGCCTCCGATGCTTGAAGCCCTTATAATGCCCCCTAATTACATTAAAAAATCTGAAAGACAAAAGAAGAATAGAAAAAAGGATATAGATGAGGAGCTAAAATGGAGCAAGAAATCAACTATGTGCAAGAAAGGAGTTCAAATGAGATGCCAACGTTGGCAAGATTATGGACATAAGAAAAGAGGATGTCCAAAGGGAGGACAACCACCTGCTCCTAGAGACCAAAGACCAGTAGACCTCCTTTTAGCCATACTAACTTCACTTTTGTATTTTTATCTTTAACTTTAAATTTTCATTCTAACGAAAACATATTACTTTCTATTTCTTAGTGAGCATATTTTGATTGATGTGTTTACCTTATTAGGGTAAGCTTGGCAAACCACCAAAGGCTTGAACATTGCTACTGGAAAGACCTATTTCTAAACAAATGGCTAGTCCATCAATAACTGGTTCATCAAAGGAAAAGATAAAGGTATGTCCCATTCAACCAAATTTCAAGCATTCTTACATATATGTATATATTGGAACACTTATCAGGTTGGCTCAGATTATTATTTTTCATTTATTATGGTTTCAGTTGAGGGAAGTATATGGGGTGATATTTTTACTAAGGCTGGAAATATCTATGCAAGAGTATGAACTTTTGTTACTATTATTGTTTTCAATAACAATATGATTATTCTTAATGATGCTTGTTGGTTTGATGATCTATGTGTGTTGGAACTACGTGGCTGTTCTGAATTTTGATTAGCATTTTGGATTCATGTGAATGTTAATATTAATACAGATGCCAAGAGACACAGTTGTCAAATATGTTAGTGGAAAATATGCTACTTCAACCGCTGCAAGAAAGAAAATTATGCTAAGAAGGAAGCACCTTTCAAGTAATGAAATTATATCTGGAACGATGGAGAGTCAATGTCAAATTCATGAAACCCAATATACAATGGATTGGAATATAGCAGACTTAAGTCAGCCTCCTCCTCTTTCAAGTCATGATCAATCCTAGAATTAGGAGGCCAAAATTATTAATGTCAATGTTGCATGTCTATTACTTTATGTTTCTTATTTTAGGTTGACGGTATGAATATTGATAATGAAAGTTTTTTTCGTATAGTAATAATAAGGCATAATATAGTTTTTTTTTTTTTTTTTGGTATAGGAGAGTTTTCTGCCAACAAATATTTCTTGGTGTTTTTTTGCCATTAGATATGTTTAATTCTGCTCTACTTTTATGCAGTGTCAATATATAATGCAAATTTTTTCTTCAATTTCATGAAGCTATTGTGCTTTTATGATTTTTAACTAAATGTGTCAGATGCTATTGGACAAAACATGTCAATAATTGAATAAAGTTAAATTTTATTGAGAACAACATGCTAATAAGCACTTTATATTTTATTATCACTTTATAAATTAAATGGTCAATATGGGAGATAAAGATTGTTAATTTTGTCCCTGATGTTTATTATTATGAGGTTGTAAAATTTAGTTATAAATGACATGATAGGTTGTGCGAAAGAACTTAATATAACTAAGCTTCATGTCTTACAATTAAAAAATGATATATAAAAGTTAAAAAATATTAGAATACTTACCCAGCTTGCCAAATACAGTTAAAGAGAGATGTTGGGTTTAGATTTATATTTAAAACGTTATGTTTAAGGATTTTAAAGATCTTTGGGTTAAGTTAATCCCATGTGTGGTTAGTTAGGACCCACAAAGTTATTTTTTTATTGTAAATCCTTATCCTAATCCTATTTTAGGGTGCTAATAAATCTATGCTTTAAAATGGGGGTGTCAATGGCATAAAGTTTATTTTAGGGTTATTTTACTACATGTTGAAAAGTTTATGGTATTTTTGTATGTTAGGCTTAAAATATTGATGAACTTGTTGATGTTGTTGTGCAATCATATGATGAGTTCTCTGTTTAATCAATGAATAAATTTTGGTTGAGTTTGCAAAATTATATGGCTGATATTAACTATAAGGTGTGACGATGGAAATAATTACTGTATAAAGCATATGAAAAAGGATGCATTGCTCAAGAATGACAATTTACTAACAACCATTGAACTTGATGTACAGTTGGTAAAGGATGCAGTAAGTGTTGTTAATCATCCAATAACAAAGTTCTTTGCACATTGATGTACCGTGAGACCAAAGTTTCTAAATATATATTAGTATCTTGGTGACCTACTTTATTAAATTCGGAGTGTGTAGCACTATGAGTCTATTAAGCAAAATTTTAGTTTGAATAGGTCGGACTTGATTTTATAAAAGTGTGCTCATTTTACTTAAAAATGATAGTAGTAGTGAATCTTTTTATTTATGTGGCCTAATTTAAATAGATGCATACTTGTGCTAATTTTTTCATTTTTTTAATTTTCAAATATATTTAGACTTTCGCACTTTTCTTATGAAGAAAACATCCAAAAATAATGGTTATGTAATACTAAGAATAATTTTTGTTTATTTTGCCCAAATTATCATGTTCGCACCCACCAATTATAATAAGGAAAAAGAGGTCACCTTTGTAAAAAGAAAACATAGTTCGTCGTTAAATTATGCACATTATAAACATATAAGTACTAATATATTAGCAAAGGTAGTGAAACAACAAATATAAACTGAATGCAATAGTTCAAGATATCTTCACTAAATAATAAAAAAAACAATAGATAAAAAACATATCACAAACTAAGTTCAATCATTTGCTCCACTTATATATTTCTGTGCCAACTCTTCATTGATCTCGGCCAATGTGTATTGAAATATATTCTCAGCATCATCAACAGAGTTAATGGCTAAGGAATCTTTTAACTATTGCATCTTTAGCTGGTCAAAAGGAGTGTGAGATCAGGCGACTGGGTCTCATCATCATCTGTCTCAGCAACTTCTTTTTTATCAGTAACCGTTATAGTCTCACCTTTCTTAGATTTATCACCATTCTTAACATTACCTTTTGCGCAACCTCTCTAACCTCACCCTACTTTTAATTAACTTGGGCACTGATTTCATTGTTATGCTCTGGAGGTGGTGTTTTTTGGAATCTTAGAGCAGGACCTAGTTGTTGGTTAAAGTGGCTCAAGCCCATTTATGGTTTTGGGATAACTTCCCACATCGGAAAATTAGAAAGGAGGTGGGGAGATTTTTGGCTCTAAAAGAAGCCTAGCCTCTTTAGTTTAAAGTGTCCCAGCTTGTCCCCAATATCTAGTGTGTTGGACAAGTTTTCTCTTCTCTCTCTATTTATATATTTCTTCAGTGAAATATTAATTTGGTAGTGTTCGAGGACGTAGGTGCAATTGGCCGAACCTCATTAAATTCTAGTGTTCTCTTTTATTTATTGCTTTATCTTTATTTATTTAATAGTAGCAGGACCTAGTTGTTTGGGTTTTAAGTGGCTCAAGCCCAATTTTATGGTTTTTGGGATAATCTTTCCCACATCGTTAAAATTAGAAAGGAAGGTGGGGAGATTTGGATGTCTCTAAAAAGAAGTCCTAGCCTCTTTTAGTTTAAAGTGTTCCCAGCCTCTGTCCCCAATATCTAGTGTTGGGTGTGACAAGTTTTTCTTTTCTTCTCTCTTCTATTTTTATATATTTTCTTTCTAGTGAATATATTAACTACGGGTAGTGTTCGAGGACGTAGGTGCAATTGTCTCGGCCGAAGCCTTCATTACAAATTCTATGGTGTATATCTCTGGTGTTGCTTATCCTTATTTTGCTTTATCCTTGTATCTCTAGTTTACTTAATAGCTTATTGTTGGGCAAAATTATTTTTTTGGTGGTTATGTCTATATTAATTACATGTCTAGGTTAGAAATTGCTGGTCAAACCGACACGGAATTTAAGGTCTAAAGGAGAAAATGGATTATTTAATAGCTATTGTTGGGCAAAATATTTTTGGTGGTTATTGTCTAATTAATTACATGTCTAGGTAAATTCTGTCAACCGACACGAATTTAGTCTAAGGAAAATGGATTTTAAGTGAGACTGCTTGTGACTCCTGCACTTACCGGGGAATTTACCTGGTGTAGTTACTTAGTGTAGTAATTGACAAATTGTTTTAATTTGGTGGAAAAAGCCCAATTTCCACAACAAATAGTATCAGAGCCCAGGATACTGAGTATTCACTGTGGTTGTAGCATAATCTGATCTTCCACATAAAAAAAGTTCATTGGTTGTGTTCCGCATTTTGAAAATTGATTTTATAACTATTAAATATTTAAAGCAGAAATGGCAGACAGAAAGAAAAATACAACACCAGTTGTTACTGCAGCATCGTTCTCATCAACCTTAGTAAGGAATGCTGTATCAGATGCAAGATTTAGAGTGGCGATTTTCGATGGCGCTGGTCATTTCGGCATGTGGCAAAGTGAACTTCTAGACGCTCTATTTTAGCAAGATCTAGATATTGCTATTAAAGAAGAGAAACCAAAAGAGATGGAGAAGAGTGAATGGAGGACCATCAATCGTCTGGCATGTGGTACAATTCGGTCATGTCTTTCTAAAAAGCAAAAATATGCTTTCTCGAAAGAAACTTCGGTGAACAAACTGTGAAAGGCATTAGAGGAGAAATTTTTGAAGAAAAACAATCAAAACAAAATCTTCATGAAGAAGAAATTGTTTCGCTTTTGTTATGTTCCTGGTACCACTATGAATGAACACATCACAAATTTTAATCAGTTGGTGGCTGATTTGTTTAATTTGGATGTGACATTTGAAGATGAAGATTTGGCATTGTTGTTGCTGACATCTCTTCCTAATGAATTTGAGTTTCTTACAACACCTCTACTCCACTGGTATAAAGATGTGACTCTCAGTGAAGTTTGTGCA